ATCAGGCATTTCTCCTCCTCCCCCTCCTCCTCCTCCTCCTCCTCCTCCTCCTCCTCCTCCTCCTCCTCCTCCTCCTCCTCTTCCTCCCTCATCCCTCCTCCTCTGAGATCCGACGACGCCAAGCAACGCCACCCACCTCGCAACAACAAAAAACACGGCTGGACCCGACGTGTCTGCTGCATGTTACCAGCCGAATCGATCTGAGATGGCCCCGGGGGCCCGAAGCCGGGCGGAGACGCCCCGCGCCGCGAACAGAAATGCACTGCCAGGGCATCGGGGCCCCTACCTTCTCCTCCCGCCACCCTCCTCCCTCCTCCTCCCGCCACCCAGGAGGATCGGAGGAGGGGAGGGGGGAGGATGGGGAGGAGGGAGGAGGGGGAGGAGGAGGGAGGATGGGGAGGAGGAGGAGGAGGATCTGGTGGGAGGAGGAGTTAGGGGGAGGAAGAGCTAGGGGGAGGAGGATCTAGGGGGATGATGATGATGACGAGGATGATGGCGAGGCTGCTGCTGCTGCTGCTGCTGCTGATGATGATGATGATGATGATGATGATGATGATGATAATGATACTGATGATGATGATGATGATGCTGATGATGATGACGATGATGATGATGATGATGATGATGCTGCTGCTGCTGCTGCTGCTGCTGCTGCTGCTGCTGATGATGACGAATTCGGGAGGCCTGGACCCTCCCTCCTCCCCTCCTGGGCGGCCAGGAGCCCGGCGGCGGCGCACGCCGCGGCGAGCGCCGCCGCGGCGCGCCGCCGCGGCGGCGGGGGGCCGCCTCGGCGCGGCGAGGCGGCCATTGCCCTCGGCCGTGGGCGCCCCGCGGCCCCTCCGCGGAGGGCGTGTCCGGGGCCCCGACGCCTCCGACGCTCGCGTGGCTGCGCCCCGCGGTGTGCGCGCGCGCAGGCGGCGCTTTGCGCGCGGAGCGCCTCGGCGCGCGGGCCTCGGCGCGCGGGCCGAGCGCGCAGGCCCGGCGCGAGAGGGACGCCGGAGGCGAGGCTGGCCATCGCTCGGACGTCCATTCCCTGTGCTTTTTTGTCGGTCTCGTCGTTGTGGACCCCCGGCGCCGTCGTTCGCCTCTCTGGAGGTCGCCACGGGAGGGCTCTGGCCATCGCTCGGACGTCCATTCCCTGTGCTCTTTTCGGTTTCGTGCGTGGCTTTTTCGCCGAATGGTCAAGGACGCTCTTCGATGGTCCTCGCCGAGGAACAAACGCACACGTCCGAGCGATGCCACGGCCAGAGGCGGGGCGCACAATGAAGGAGCGAACGAGCGCCTCTGCGGACAGGTCTCCGAGGGCGAGCAGGTGGCACACAGCAGGCCACGATAGCAGTGGCGCCCGCTCTGACCGCTGCCCCCCCTCTTCCAAACGAAAAACGAGGGGGGGGGCGGCCGCACAGGCCTCTCGCGCTCTCACGCCAGAGATGGGACGCACGAGGACATGCTGGTGCCGTGCGTCCTCCTCGGAGGGCGCGCGGTCGACCCGAACACGCAGCAGAGCCGTCTTCCAGCAGATCGTTGCCCGAGCGAAGGCGCCCCCCCAGGAAGCCCCTCACACAGGCCCCCACGAGGCCCCAGGAAGCCGCCCACATGCCCCCAACACATTCCAAGAGGTCCCAGAGATGCACCCCTAAGAGACTTCAGATTAATCCAGGAGGCTCCTGACCCAAGATTGGACGCCCGAAATATCTGGGGTAACTCGGTTCCGGGATAACTCGGGTCTGGGTTCCCGAAAAACGGACCCGAGTTAGCCCTGACCCGAGTTACCCCTGATGATTCGGGGCTCTGGACGCCCGAAATATCCGGGGTAACTCGGGTCCGGGATAACTCGGGTTTGGGTTCCCGAAAAGCAGACCCGAGTTAGCCCTGACCCGAATTACCACTGATGATTCGGGGCTCTGGACGCCCGAAATATCCGGGGTAACTCGAGTCCGGGATAACTCGGGTTTGGGTTCCCGAAAAACGGACCCGAGTTAGCCCTGACCCGAGTTACCCCTGATGATTCGGGGCTCTGGACGCCCGAAATATCTGGGGTAACTCTAACTCGGGTCCGGGATAACTCGGGTTTGGGTTCCCGAAAAACGGACCCGAGTTGGCCCTGACCCGAGTTACCCCTGATGATTCGGGGCTCTGGACGCCCGAAATATCCGGGGTAACTCGGGTCCGGGATAACTCGGGTTCGGATTGCCGAAAAACGAACCCGAGATAGCCCTGACCCGAGTTACCCCTGATGATTCGGGGCTCTGACAAGATGCAACTTCCACGATCGTCTCAAACACCCACTCCCCGTGGGGGTCGAACGGTACGACCCAAAAGCGCCCGCCACGGAGCCTATACCGAAGATTTCCCTGCGCGCGCGTCGCCCTTGGGGGGGGGGCGACGCACACATAGCATTAGTACAGTCGGGGACTTGACCTAAGGAACCCAACATAAGGAGCGAGGCCCCTTTTTTCCATAAGTTAAACTTCGATTTCCGATCGAAAACATAAGGAACACCTGAGGCAAGCTGCGAAACACTTAAGGAACGCGGAGCCCCTCCCCAACGAAAAGGGTTCCTTCTTTAGGGCCCCGACTGTATGTCGGCGTGACGCCGAAAACAATTGACCAGCACGTGCGAGGCCAACACGCAGCGTGTTAACAAAGACGCTCTGAACATGGTACGCGTTGCAGTTCAGAACGGGCGTATCAGGGCAGCTAAAGGTGTGATCTGTTCTTTCAATCTCGGAAAATTTTCCGCCGCTATCGGCCCCCAGGACAACTAATGAGGGGCACCGATACGGGGGGGATTGGCATAGGGGGGGTGCATCGATTTGAACTCAGCGATACAGCGCCGATAGACGGGCGATAGGCCCCCGAAGAGTGAATCCGCACCCTCCTGGGCGGGTTGTGGCTATTGGGCCCCCATCGGCGATCAATGGGCGATTAGAGGTCGATGCATCCCCCCCCTGTGCCCGTCCCCCCCCGAAGCGTTGCCACTGAACAAAGCATGACTCCGAGGCGAAAAGCAGACCTCGGCGTTGCGGGGTGGCCCCTTTTGTCGGCCGTGCGCGCTCGGCCCACCCCAGACCTCCGGCAATATCCCTGAGATCCTGGCGTCGCAATGTGTCCTCCCACACTGGGCGACCTCGCGCTGCTTCGGGCCCTCAAGGATCGGTGCGGCTCGAGAATTGCAAACTGAGCCTGGCGAAGGACCCAACAGAATGCAATTGTGAGAAATGCGTTGCTGGTACCGCTTCCGGTGGGCCACGGAACGCGTGATGGGGCGTGCGGAAAAGGGTGGGGGGCACGCATGCGGGTGGTCCCACTGGGGCCTTGGCTGGAGCTCCCTGTGGGGCCACGACGCGCTGGAGTAGGTTGTGGAGACGCGTGCGGGCGGTGCCATTGGGGCCTTTTCGGTGGAGCCCCCATATGGGGCCACGAAACGCCATGCGGGCGCCCCCACTAGGCCTTCGCTGGAGCCCCTCATGGGGCCACGAAGCGCTGTACTGGGCATGGCGGACGCATGCGGGCACCCCCACTGGAGCCTTCGGTGGGGCTCCCTGTTGGGCCACGAAGCGCTGTACTGGGTGTGGCGGGCGCGTGCGGGCACCCCCACTGGGGCCTTCGGTGGAGCTCCCTATGGCGCCGCGAAACGCTGTACTGGGTATGGCGGGCGCATGCAGGCACCCCCACTGGGGCCTTAGGTGGAGCTCCCTATGGCGTCTCGAAGCACTGTGCTGGGTGTGACGGACGGATGCGGACACCCGCACTGGGGCCTTCGGTAAACTCCCTATGGGGCCACGAAGCGCTGTACTGGGTGTGGCGGACGCATGCGGGCACAGGCTGGGGCTTTCGGTGGGGCTCCCTGTGACGCCACGAAACGCTATACTGGGTGTGGCGGACGCATGCGGGCACCCCCACTGGGGCCTTCGCTGGAACTCCCTGTGGCGTCACGAAGCGCTGTACTGGGCGTGGCGGGCGCATGCGGGCACCCCCACTGGGGCCTTCGGTGGAACTCCCTAATTTATGGGGCCGCGAAACGCTGCACTGGGTGTGGCGGACGCGTGCGGGCACCCGCAGTGTGGCCTTCGGTGGAACTGTGGCGGACGCATGCGGGCACCCCCACTGGTGCCTTCGCTGGAACTCCCAGATGGGGCCGCGAAGCGCTGTACTGGGTGTGGCGGGCGCATGCAGGCACCCCCACTGGGGCCTTCAGTGGAGCTCCCTATGGGGCCACGAGGCGGTGTACTGGGTGTGGCGGACGCATGCGCCCCCAAGAGGCTCCACACAATTTGGCACATCGCCTGGGAATCTCCACCCCTGGGAATCCGCCGCCTGGGAATCTCCAACTCAAGACGGTTCAAGCCGCCTGGGAATCTCCACCCCCAAACTGGTGCGCTCGCATGGCGCTGCCCCGCCCCATTCGACATGTACGCCTCACAGGTTGACGTGCCCCAGGGAGCTCCACCTGCTGCGGTGAGCGCCCAAATCGTCGCACCACTCAAGCGTCTCGTGCCCCATAGGGAGCTCCACCTACACCCCCCGCGGATGCGCTCGCATGGCACTGCCACATGCAATCCGGTGCACCCCTCATATGCTGGGGGAGCTTCGCCTATGACCCCCGCGGGTGCTTTCAGATGGCGTTGCTCCAATCCTTGGGCAACCGCCTCACACTGATCGTGCCCCCTCGGGAGCTCCACCTCCGGCCCCAGTGGGTGCCGTCGCGCAGCGCTGCCCTGCCCTACTCGGCGCACCCCTAACACGTTTCATGCCCCGTGGCGAACTCCTCTTATGGTCCCAATGGGCGCATTCGCATGGCGTCTCCACCGCTGGAAGCCACCCTCTTCAACATGATCTCTAGATCCCAAGCCGCCGCAGAAGCGCCGCGAACCTATTCGTCTGGGCCCGTGCTGGGCCAGGGATCGGTGAATGCTCCCGTCGGGCCGCCGATGCAGGGTCCGTGTTGGTGAAGTATTGCCGTCTCGAGGCGTCCACGTGGCCTAGACATCGCTGGGATGTCCCCAAGCAAGACAACTCCAATGAGGCGTCCATTTGCACTGGCTGTCCGCTTTCCTTATGCCTCGTGCGCACTGAGCACCAGTGCGCCCGCCAATCCCGGGCTCAAGGTGGGCCCGACAGGCTTCGGCTGCCGGCAAAAAGTTGGCGCCCGGCGCGCGGGAACGCCGGCAGCGAGGCATCGAACCGCTGGGGCCCATGAACAGCATGCATCCACGAGGCGCTGGGCGCACCGGGCCGCGCAGGGATCTCCGGCGCCGGAGGAGGAGGGACGGGACGGAGGAGGAGGAGGAGGAGGAGGCGGCGGAGGAGGAGAGAGATGGATGAGGAGGGAGGAGGAGGGGGAGGAGGGGGGAGGGGGGAGCAGGGAGGAGGAGGAAGGAGGAGGGGGGAGGAGGAGGAGGAGGGAGGAGGAGGAGGAGGAGGAGGAGGAGGAGGAGGAGGAGGAGGAGAGGAGGAGGAGGAGGTGGAGGAGGAGGAGGAGGAGGAGGAGGAGGAGGAGGAGGAGGGGGGAGGTTTTTTTTTGACTATACTTAGCTCGTTGCAAGTTAGCTTGAGCGCAGCGGCCAACAGGACTGGCACAGGCTGCACACGAGAAGCCCGAGAGCATGGACGCTGAGCTGCTTCCGCTCTCGTCCCGAAAACTGTCAGGAGAGAGGTATTGGCGCTGAGGGAGGGGAGGAGAGGAATCATATCGAGAGAGGAAGATATTGCAGCGCCGTGCGAAGAGAGACATCAGCGGCACCCTGCTTCGTTGCCCATAGTAGGGCAGCCCTCGATGCAGAGAGCAGTGCGAGGCAGGAAAAAGAAGAGACCTGCCTGGGAGTGCCTTCCGAATTTCGGACGGCTATTGAGAGGGAAGAGCTGGACGGAGGGCCAAAATGGCCAGGCCGCATTGCGGCTGTGCAAACCTCCAGGGGAGGAGATCTGGACTGGAGGAAGAGCGGGGGAAGTCATAAGAGGCGGGGGAGGAAGAAGGGCCAGAATGGCATTGCCGTGTTGCAGGGCGTGCGCTGCAGCTGAGAGGCCTGTACGGATCGACCGCGGCGGGGAGGTGGGTGTGCCTGGGCGCTAGCCGAGACCAGACAGCAGGGACCCACCTCCGTGCGGCCCCTCACAGGCACACAGGGACCAAGGGGACCCTGCTACACCTGGACGGGGGCCAAAGAGATGCGCCGGTGCAGAGGCCACGGTCCTCTCATGAGGCACTTGTGGCTAGGACTGTCTAGGTAGTGAGCTGCCAGGGCGAACCAAGAGTATTAGGCCAGCCCACCCCCTAGAGACTCAGCCGTGGCGAGTCTGCGAATTGCTGTGTGAGCTTAGCCGATCGCTGTTTAGCGAGGCTGCTAAAATGTGCTGCGCTGGCCGCACTAGCGCGGCAAAGTGAGAAGTCGCGCCCATGAATGGCGACTACTCCTGGACAGGGCCCTCTAAAAGAGGGGCCGGTGGAGAAAAGAGCGCTAGGAGGGCTGCCGAGGTAGGTATTAGGCGGCTCTGCCCCTGCGCGGCGCATTGACGGTTGCGCCATGGGCGCCCATCCCATATAGGCCTGAGATGGTGTCGACTGATGCCGCAAGAGTTGCAGTGAGAGTGCGCACCCGAAGGACTCACTGCGGCGGAATGTATGCCGGCTTGGCCGGCCTTAAATTGGAGACGCGGTGTCTCCTTTGTTAGAGTTTGGCTCGAGTGAAGAAGGCCTGGGCTGAATAGGTGGTGGGCTGCAGGCAAACCAGGATCTGAGCAGTGTGCTAACCCACCACCTATGCGTGAGGACTCAGCCGTGGCGAGACTGCGAATTGAAATATGTGAGCGGCGCTTAGCCGCCTCACTGTTAGCGGGGCTGCCCGAGGTTGCAGAGCCGCGCAATGACGGGATGGGCTGGATGCTGCTAGACTCGCGTGGGCTACAACTCAGCTATGCAGGACGGCTCGACCGACCTTGAGTTGGAGTGGCATGGCTCCAGCTGTTTAGGTGGTGGGCTGCCAAGGTGGAGAGAAGACGCTGAAAGGATGTGGAAAGGAAAGTATTAGGCGAGCCCACCACCCAAGTATGCACGCTGCTAGTTGCGCCGAGGTCGCTTAGGACGACCTAGAAGGGCGCTGACTGATGCGTCATTAGAGTGGCTCGCTCAGGCACTGAAGGGCGACGGGTTGAGAGTGCGGGCGGCAGCCGAGAGCGCCGAGAGACCTGCCGCTGTCGCCGCCGCACGCGCCTGGGCCTCTTGCGCGGCGGCCTGCTGCTGGTTGTAGTGGTTCCTCAGCATGGCCTCCACCTCAGAGATGGTCGCCAGGCCTGGGGTCTCGATCCACTCCCAGTCCCAGGTTTCGACGACCTGGCCGTCGATGACGTCCAGCGACTTGAGCTTCCAGACGAACGGGTATAGCATGCCGTTGGGCATCTTCCACTCGCCCGGGCATGTGGAGGGCCACCACTTTTTGAACTCGCGCGTGGCGGCCGTGTATTGGGAGCCCTGCCAAGCCGAACCAGCATATGTGTCCCCTGAGAGGCCGAAGAGCTCCCGCGTGTCAGGCGACGCCCTGCTGGCCTCGGCCGCGCCCGCCTCCGCCGCGGCCGCAGCGGAACCACCCGCGGGAGGCGTGGGCGCCATGGCGGCGTGGGGCGCGCTGAGAGAAGGTGGGGAGTGCCAAGGAAACAAAAAGAAGTAGCCCATAAGCCAACGGCGGCCAAATGTGAGTGAAACCTAGCTGGCCTGTGCTAGCATCTGTGTGAGGAGGACCCTCCTGACGGGGCGACTGATGCACGCCTGGCCTGGCGCGGAGTCTATAGGGATGAGGATGTTACCGCTACGCATGTTGACCCGCAGCGAAAGGCCGGTGCGGTAGGGTATGCCCGTGCCAAATAGGATGGGCCGTGCATCCATCTCCTGAAGAATGGGGAGGTGAAAAAAGCGCGGCCTTTCCACAGAGGATGGCAGCCTGGTCTCCTGCCCATGGAATTGCTCCATTAGGAGCCCTACATTGATGGGCAGTGGGGACCAAAGCGAAATGTGGCCTGTCGTTATTACTACCAGCCACTGCACTGCTGTAGGCGGTGGTGGCACTGCTTCAGTGGGGGCGCAGCGGAAGTCGCCGTGCTCGAACTGCGGCAGGTGCTGCGCCTCTGGGGTCGGCATGGCCTGAGGGATTAGGGTTCGGGGAGACGGAGGATTCGAGCGAGGTGGGACAACGGGAGGCAGAATGGTCGAACCATGATCATGGCCTGGAAGTCTATAAGGATGGGGCTGCCAGCCGCTGCATCCTGCAAAAGCCGGTGAGGGCTGAGGGAGGCCTGCTCCCAGGCCCCCGATTGAAGTAGGACCAGAAAAAGTTGGTTCGGCACGTAAACTGTAACTAGCCCTATGGTGGGTGAGAAACGGGCATCGTAGGGACCGTCCCCCGCAGCACATTGGGGGTAGATGTGGAGTAGGTTAGGGGAGTTGGCCTCGCGCCATCGGCCATGCCAGCGCTCGAGTGTGCGATTAACGGCCGTGGGCAAATCTAAGTGAAGCATAGGGCCCACGAAGGAGCGCGCGCGTGGCCATGCGGGCGGCCCGCTCTCGAGCTGCCATGTGGCTTGCCACTGGGGTACCGCATTATGCTGGTACACCGTGGTGGGAGACAATATGAGTGCGTGGCGCCTTGCGCCGCCGCTGAGAAAGCGATAGGCTTGCTGGTGAGCCAAAAGAAGCCGCTCGGCCAGATGCTTCCATAAGGAAGTCAAGCGAGAGGGTGGTTGCGCGATGCTTCGCGGATCTAATTGTTGCCCCGGGTACGCCTCAGCAGCGGGCACGTCCTCGTCTGCATCGGCGTTGCCCAGGATACTGGGCTCGCTCCTCATGGCCTGATGGGGATGAGGCAGGAAGGGGAGCTGATAGAGGAAATAGGGAGAGGTTAGGCTTAGGCTGGGGGCTAGCTGCCAGGCAAGGGTCTAGCGCCTGGCAGCCTCACCTCCTTCATGAGGTTTGCGCGGCCTCCTGGGCGACAGACGCTGACCGCAATGCGAAAGGCTTTCGCCATCTCGCAATTGCATCTTAAGGCGCTCCCTGTGTATCCTGTCGATACGGAGCTGGTCCTGCCTATGCTCCTCTTTGAGCTGAGCAATTTTATTCTCATGCTCCTTGAGAAATGAGCTGCGCTGTTCGTCCGCTGCTGCGGCTGACGCAGCTGCAGCTGCGACTGTAGGCGGCAGGCGCGTAGCTACATGGCCAGAATGGTGAGACTTACGAGCCTTGTGGTGCCTTGTAGGAGGTGAGGCTGGTGACGAGGCCGGGCCGTGGGAATCCTGCGGGCTGCTTTGAGCCTCTACTGGATCTCGGCGCTGTGGCATAGGCTGCTCGTCCGAGGCTGCATCAGACGCTTTGGCAGGCGAACGTGAGCGCTGCGCTGCATGGGCCGCGCGGTGCGCCTTGGCCTTGCGAGCCCTATGGTGCCTAGGGGGAGGAGAGGCTGGAGGTGTCGGCGTGCCGAGGGACTCCTGCGGGCTGCTATGTGCCTCAGCAGGTTCCCTGCGTATCGGCGCAGACTGCTTGAGCGCGCTTTTGCGCGGCTCGGTGCGTAAGCGCGAATTATGGGCCACCTTGGGGGGCTTGGCCGTGAACTCGTCCGCAAATGAGACCTGCTTGCGCTTGCGAGTTGCAGAGGCGCGGGGCGCAACTGACTGTTCCGCCGGCTCTGGAGAGTCAAGCGGAGGAAATGGTGAGGAGGCAGAGGAATATGAGGCGTCGTCCACCTGATCCAGCCTTCTAGGCGATGCTGGGGGACTAGAAGGCCTGCTTGGCTGGCTCCTGTATGGCGCAGCTTTGCGGGACTGTTTGCGAGGCTCGCGCAGGGGTGGAGGCGAGGTGCACGCTGAAAGGGGTGGAGAAAAAGGAGAAGCTGCCTGGCCTATCCAGCCTTCCGGAATGGCTGCTTTAGCAGGCACCCTGGGATGCTCAGGGGGCGGCAAGGGAGGCAAGGCTGGCGGAGGTGGCGGAGGACGAAAAGTGGCCCCGTAGATGTGCCTGCCTCGACCCATGGGGGGGCCGCTGAAATCGCCAGGCGGCCGCGGGGGATCTGAGGCAGGTGGGGTGCTGGACAGAGAGCGCTGCACCGGAGGGGGGAGGAGGGGGGAGGGGCAAGCTAGGTGCGCTCACGTCATATCTGACGTCCTACCCCTCCCTCCCATCCCTTACCATGGCGCTGATTTTCTCTATCCGCGGACGCGTGTCGTAGCGGACCTGTGGCTCCGCGCGCGCGTGCGTAGTGGGTGGTGGTGCGCGTGCGTGCGTGCGTGCGTGTGTGCGTGGTTGTGGTGGTGGTGGTGGTGGTGGTGGTGGTGGTGGTGGTGGTGGTGGTGGTGGTGGGTGGGTGGTGGGTGGGTGCTGGTGCTGGTGCTGGTGGTGGTGGTGGTGGTGGTGGTGGTGGTGGTGGTGGTGGTGGTGGTGGTGGTGGTGGTGGTGGTGGTGGTGGTGGTGGTGGTGGTGGTGGTGCGGCGCGGTGGTGGCGGGCGGATGGGCGCGCGAGAAAGAGGCCCGCGCTGGGGCGAGAACGCCATCCTGAACGACGGAGGCCAAACACCGATCCGAAAATGAGGCCCATGCTGCAGCGGGAGCACGATTCGGAACGATTCGGGAGCAGAAATGAGGCCGGCGCCTCAGCGAGAGTATCATGCTTTTTTGTTGTATCAGAATTTTTTTTTTTTTTTTTTTTTTTTTTTTTTTTATATAAAAAAAAAAAAAAAAAAAAAAAAAAAAACGCAAGCGAAAACCCGTTTCCCGGGAATCCTGTGTGTAAAAAAACAGTACGCGGGGGGCGTTCGGCCCGAAAATGACGCCGGCGCCTCAGCGAGAGTCGTTTCCCGGGATTTCCCGGGCATCCTGTGTGTAAAAAACAGTACGCGGAGAATGCGCGGCCATCACCCGGACGCCATCAGGGGAAGAGGGAGAGTATTTTCATATTGAGTAATTGTGGAGGAGGGGGGAGGAGGGAGGAGGGGGGGGTTGGGAGGAGGAGGAGGAGGAGGAGGAGGAGGAGGAGGAGGAGGAGGAGGAGGAGGAGGAGGAGGAGGCGGCGGAGGCGGCGGCGACGGAGGAGTCTCTCGGGCAGCGGGCGCGGGGCAGGCAGGCCACCGCCACCCACCGGGCTGCACGTAGGTGCGCTGCGCGGGCGCCAGGCGGCCAAATCCGGGCGCGCAGGCAGCCGCCGCCGCGCCGCGCTCAGCGCTCGGGGCGACCCCGAGGAGCCAGCGCCCGAGGTCGCTCTGAAGTCTTGCGCGCAGGCGGCCCACTCTCCGGGCGCCGGGCCGCCGCGACCCGCCGCACACCGCGCCCGGCTCGGGGCCCCGCCTCACGCCGAGCAGGCCGCCCGCCGCCCTCGCCGCTCAGGAAACGAGGCTCGCCGTCTGGGGGCCCTGCGGGCTCCTTCGGCCGCACGCTCCCCAGAGGCGGCAGTCCCTCCTTTTGGGGGGACCACGAGGGTACCGCGCACCGCTGCTCCGCGGGAGCTCTCACCGGGGGCACTCTGACCGGGACTTCGAGGAGAAGCCTGCCGCGGCAACGAGAACGCTCCAGGACGAGCATGGATCAACAACCATCGGCGCGAACATAATGTCTCGGAATGCCACGGGGATGTCTTGGAGCTGCGCCGAATCCCCCTCCATGGCGCGCGCAGCGCGCCACGGGCGGCGCCAGAGGCGCCGACACGGGGGGACCCGACGCCGTTCCAAGAAACACGCGCGGAACAAAGAGAAGTTAGGCTTGTGCAGTATGCTCTGCTCCCGGGGGCGTCCAAGAGAGGGGCGGGGTGCAAATCATGGCTGGCGGCACGTGCGCGGCCCAAGGGGGGGGGGCAGGGACGTCATGAAATACGAAGAGGCGCCATGAAACCTGAGGAAATATCATGGCCCACGCCATGATATCCCCCCCCCAGTCATCACCCCCTATGTGCCGCCCCCGATGTTATGTTCTTCGAGTAGCAATCTTTTCCCAATCCGCGACCATCGAGGTCCCGAACCCAGGAGGAGGAGGAGGGGGAGGCGGAGGAGGAGGAGGAGGAGGATGCGGAGGAGGAGGAGGAGGAGGAGGAGGAGGAGGAGGAGGAGGAGGAGGAGGAGGAGGAGGCCTCCCTGGATATGCTCTTTCGCCAAAGAGACCTGGGCAGCCTGGAGGCCCGACGACGGGCCCCCATCCATGGGCCGAGTTATCTCGAAGACACGCGCCCGGAAGGGCAACTTCAAGCCGCTCGCGGGCGACGAGCGCGTCCGTATCCCCAGACCCCCTCGGGTCATGACAAAAATCACGACGGGGGGTTTTTCACTGTTTTCGGCCTCTGGGGGCCCTTACCCGGACTCGGGACCGTCAAAAAACGACTCCCCTGAGGGTCTCCCGGGCTGAATCACTACACGCGCGATTATGCAACATAAAAAACTACATGCTGACACACCACTATGTATATCATTACATACGATATCAAGTGTTGAATATGCGTGGAAACATCTATGCGTGTCGAATATACACTGCGCATGTTGGTTATATACAGACGTGTCGATTATTCCCCCCCCCTCCCTCCTTCGGTGGCCGTTTGTGTTCGATTGCCCTGGTGCTGCACCTTACCGCTGGGCTGCAGTGGGCGCGATGCCTCCACTGTCGTGGGTGGGCGACGGCGGCGTGTTCGACCAGCTCATGAAGCACGGCCAGCAGCAGAAGCAGCAGCAGCAGCAGCAGCAGCAGAACCAGCAGCAGCAGCAGCAGAAGCAGCAGCACCAGGAGGCGCTCAGCTGTGCGTCCACCGCGGCGCCGACTCCGATCGGTGCCGCGGAGGTCGAGACTGTGCCGTACGTGGAGCCCCTCCAACAGGGGCACACGTACGCGGGCGGCGTCCAGCTCAGCAACGAATGCTGGCGCAGCCTCATGGAGGCAGGGTCGAGGGAGTGGATCGATCGATCGATCGATCAGCTCTCTCGATGAATAAGTTTATTTTTGTTGATATATATATATATATATATATATATATGTATGTGTGTTAGATACAAGTATGTTTGTATTTAGGTATCAACAAAAATACATTGATTCATCGAGAGCGTCGACCGATCGATCGATCGACTCACTCCCTCGGCACCCTCCCCAGGCAGCTCGGCTGCGCGGGCAAGCAGCCGACATGGCGCAGGTTGTGGACGGGAATAGATAGGGTAGGGAAGAGTATAGGGAGGAGGAAGGAGGAGGAGGAGGAGGAGGAGGAGGAGGAGGAGGAGAAGGAGCGTCATCGATGCTGCAATACACCCTCGATGGGACACATACGGTGGCACGGGATATCCCGTGCCACCGTATGTTTCCATTTGCTGCCCAGGTGCTGGCTGCTGCTGGCGTCTCGGCGGCGGACCTCCAGGACACGGCCGCTCGCCTCGCCCTCCTCGTTCGCCTCCTCCTCGTCCTAATCCCTCCCCCCCATTCTCCTTCTCGAGATCCTCGTCCTCCTCCTCTCCCTCGTCCTCCCTCCCTCCCTCCCTCACTCCCTCCCTCCTTTCCCTCCCTCCCCCTTTCCTCCTGCTCCGCGTCATCCTCTGATCTTTGCGTGTGCGCATCCTACTCACCCACGTCCTCCTCATCCGTCTCAGTTTCCTCATCCTCCTCCTCGTGCCCGATCATGCCATCAGTCCCCAGCGTTGAAATTCCAATGAAATCCGTTGAACTTCGTTGAGATACGCGTATCCCCACCAGCCCATACGCTTCGCGTATCCCCACCAGCCCATCCATACGCTTCGCGTATCCCCACCAGCCCATCCAGCAACGATGTCCAGGCGAGTGAGGTGATCAGGGAAGTACGGGAGCAAAGAGGTGGGCTGCCGAACAGTGCGAAACAGGGAGGATGTTGACACGGGAGAGGCTGGAGGAATGAATGAGGGAGTGGGGAGGAAGAGTCTGAATCTGATGAGGAGGAGGAGCAGGAGGATGAGGAAGAGAAGAAGTAGAATGATTGCCACCAGCTCTCTGGGCGTAGGTGTTTTAGGGAACGTCCGCTTCCAAGCCCCATTCTTCCCTTTCGGAGAAATGTTTACCTCTCCCCTCTCACCCCTCTCCTGGACATGAACGGTGGGGGGGCAGGAAGTTTTATTCCAGCGTTGGCCTCATTTCGGCCCCCAACAGGCACACATGAGGTCCCAAGAGGCCACACGATGGTCCCAAGATGGCCCCATGAGGCCCCTTAAGAAGCAACGAGGAGGCTTCCAAGAGGACCCCAAGCGCCCCCCCCACACCCCCCCAATGCACCCAAGACGCCCAAGAGCCCTCCAGGATCGCAGCGAGACCCACAAGACGTCCCAAGCGGCCACCAAGCGCCCAAGAGATACCATCACTCAAATAATAATAAAAAACAACAGCATGATCAATAGCCATTTTGGCTAGGAGGCGCGACGAGCGCCAGCTGGGCGCTCGCGCGGGCCACTGCCGGAGGCATGGCCGATGGAGCGGCATCAGACGTCTCGGCCGATTCGCCACACGCATGCGTGGACGTGAGCCTCATGAAGGAGCACCTCGCGCCGTTCGTGACGACGGCCGAGTTCGTCATCTACCCGACGAAGAAGGGCAGATCAGGCCCAGACAAGGACAGGATGGCCGCCCACATCGACATCGTCTACTGCATCAGGAAGAATGTCGCGCCCAACATGTGGTTGAGCAAGAAGTCCCTGGAGAATGCGCTCTACTTGATAGGGAACGACAAGAACTGGCCAGGCGTCCAAGGCGCAGTGCTGACGAGCTGGTCCATCGAGATGAGCGAGAGAATTCGCGCGATGCTCAAGCATGCGAGCACGACGTTCACTAGAAAGGTCTGGCCACAGTGGTTCAGCGAGCCGCTCGAGAAGATTGGCGTCAAGCAATCAGACCCCATGTTCGCGAGCGTGAAGTACGTGTACAAATACGACGAGATCACACACCAGGCCCCGATCCGCATCCCGATGATCAACAACAGGAAGTCGGGGCCTGCAGAGAACTGTTCAAGAATCGACGGCCCCGACGAGAACGGCAAGCACACGGCCTACTGGGAGAACGACGACGACTGCGATGACAAGTGGGTGTTCGAGAAGGTGTTCACCGACGTAGACAAATGTCGGGCCCACTCGTCCAGATTGAACGATTGGACAGACACCCCCGACGGTCTGAAAGTCAAGGCCTTCATCATGGCCGACCGCGGCCCAGACAAGCTGATCAGGGTCCATCGCACAGTGAAGGGGGGCAAGGGCAAAGAGCAGATGACGAACATCAGCTGCGGCTGCTTCGAGTCAGAGAAGGCAGCGCTCGAAGCCGTGCACAAGCACATCATCGAGAAGTTCAAGGATGGCACGATCAAGACGAAGGCCGATGCGAACAAGTGCAGGATCGAGCTGCAGAACGAGCTGAAGAAGCACGTCGTTCGCAAGCGGCCTGCAGGCATAGACGGACTAGAATCGCACTCCCACCCCGCTCTCCTCTCCGAGGAGGGCGGGATGCAGAGGAGGGCGGATGGCTGGGAGGAGAGCAGTGAGGTGGAGGATGGAGGAGGAGGAGGAGGAGGAGGAGGAGGAGGAGGAGGAGGAGGAGGGTGAGGAAATAATGGTGAGGATGAGAGAGGTTCACATATAGGCTCTGACATGGTAGATAGGATGAGGGAGAGGGGGAAAGGAATGATGAGACGGAGGATGAGGAGGATTGATGAAGCTTCACCCCCAGGCATGCACAACAAGGACGACGCCGAGATCGTCGAGCAGGTCGCTGGCGAGAACCATGACAGCGATGACGAGGACAAGGATGCGGACGCAGATGCTGCAGATGCCGCATCCTCCGACGAGGAAGACGATCTCGCGGCCGTCGACGACGAGACCGACGCACCGCTGAAGAAGAAGAAGCGCAGCACCGTGATGAAGCAGCCAGCTGCTGCGTGCCACCAGATCAAGCGCAAGCGTTCCACGCACGAGGTGCCCGTCGACTCACAGCTGATGAAGAAGCCAGCGGCAACTCCGACCAAGCAGGAGCTGGCGGCGGCGCAGAAGGTGACACCAGTGGCAGCAGACAAGACCAGCACGGATGCAGCTGGGAGCCAATCCCCCGACATGAAGACCCCGAGCAAGAAGGACTCGATCAGCAAGCCAATGATCACAGACCACGTGGACAAGCCAGACACGAAGGCGGACGGCGAGACGGCCAACACCACGAGCGACATGGACGGCCCAGCTGCGTCCCTGATGGAGGCCGCGCACTCGCATCTCATGGACGACCAAGGAGGTTTCAAGACCGCCCGGGGGCGGCAGAACCAACAATAATGAGCATCCTCATCATCGACATCGTCATCGTCATCATCATCA